TCCCCCCCCCCTCCCTCCCTACCGTCATCCAGCATCCCGAAGAAAAAGCGTGCCGCTCTCTTACTCTCGTCGAAGCCAGCCGCATTCCTGCCTCTTGTACAGCTTTCGAATAACTGGTGCACGTAAGATCGCTCGAAGCTCGAGCAACTAATTTACGAGGATTCCGAAGAACTTAAGGGCTCCTCCGAATTAACGCCCTCCGAAGGATACCTGGGGATACGCGAGAGGCGTTTCGCTTCCGCACTGCTCTTGACGACATTGACATCGATTGATGACGTCATTACGTGCAATTCGTTACAATTATCCAGTATCCAGTGGATAAACATCAAGAGCAGGATGGAAGCACGCGTGATGAACTTTGTAAAACTGTGATCGATGCCTGATGGGTCCTGGAGATGAGCCATCCTCGTGCACTGGAGGAAAGCCCGTAGCTGGCAACTCCAAGGTTAGGTTAGGTTGGGTTAGGTTAGCTGGTGCATTTTGCGCCTGGTCTTTGGAGAATTTTGTCGTTGGGCTAATCGGTGAGCCCACCAGCCGGACAGAGGGAAAAATTACGTGGATTTTCCTCTCTGTATTCTCTACCCTTTTTTTTCCTTTCTCCGTCTCCCTCTACCCTCTCTGCCCCTATCAGAAAAGTCATTTGTTCCCTGGTCAGAGACGCTACGCCCTAGCAGATAAGGACCAGAGAGTATAGAAGTACAATGTTCAACGGCGGATGCAGGACGACCATTAGTCAAGGCTGTCGAGGAGTAGCGAGACGTCCCGAGGAAGAAAGAAGCGGGACCAGGGACGGCAGCTATTCTGCCTGTGTTGTCCAGGATACGTTCAGCTCTGCCAACCCAACGAGTCTCTAGGCAGGCTTGGCGGATTCAAACTGGAGCAGACTGCAAGAGTGGGAGGGAGAGAGAGGGCCATAATATCGGCCCAGCTATAATAATATCCAGATCCATGACGGATCGGACGAATCGGACGGATCGGACGGATCACCTCGGATCACCTCGGATCACCTCGGATGACAATTGGCCACAGTTTCCAGGTTCCGCGGCTAAGGACTGCCGTTCCGCGAGCTTGCGCACCTTCGCGTCCAATCGCTATGGAGACTCGGTTGGTCGCTGTCATCCTCTGTGTATGTCGCCGTCTTGTATCATGCTCTGTATGTATCAGGATAATTGCCGAAGGATAACGGCAGCCTATATAGACTGGACGATTCGCGCGTCCAGAGTAGCGAAACCGTTCGAAATCGCTTGCTAAACTTTTTCACAGAACGGGAAGAAAGGGAAGAAACGTCGAACACAGCCGTCCGGCCGTCCGGTCATCCGGCCATAGCTGGGATGGCTAATAAAAACCAAATGGCGACCACCGAGTTAAACTGAAATCGATTGATCAGCAAACTTGAGCCAATCGGTTCACAGAAGTTGCTAAAGCGGAGAGAAAAAAATATATAATCCATCTCCGTCTCTCTTTCTCATATGCGTGACACGTATCCTTTGGTGAAAAGGCGCCGGTGGACGATTGACGAGGAGTTTTAACGGTATAGGGAAATTCAGTAGGAGAGTCGGAGGGTCTGGAAGAAAAGGTCGAATGAATCGAGTGGAGTCGTAGGAGGATCCCAGTCGAGGGAAAGGTGATCTCGTCCGTTTGCATGATCCCAACGCGAGTGGAACACAGAGAGCGCAAGAGGAGCGATGTACCACGAAGTATGGCGGTAGGAACGCGGCTGACGCGGGGCAAAAACGATCGCCGCTGTCTGGTGTGCTTTTTGTGGGCATCAGAGTTTCCAACCTCCATCCTCGCCATAGCTGTAGCCCGTAGTTCCCGTAGTCCCTGTAGTCCCTGTAACTCGTAGCTGCACCACCCAATTCGCGATGCGGTTACACCCGGCGTTGTCCCCAATATTTCTCTCTCTTTCTGTCTCCCTCGTACCGATTATTCGCCTATAGCCACGATTTCTTCCCTCATTCTCTCTCTCGCTCTCTCTCTCTCTCTCTCTCTCGCTTACTCACTGTCGAAGCGCCCTAACCCTAAATCCCGATTATCAATGCGTCTACGCAGGGAGACCTAATGAAAATACCCGAGGAGTTCCCGGTAAAGATTGCAAGGCGTCCCCAAGATCTTGGACTCGAGGCTGAGGAGTCTGAGGAGTCTGCGAGTAGGGAGGGGACGGTCACGCGTCCGATGACCAGCGAGATCAAGAAATCGGCGGATCTTCGCATGGCCGAGCAATTCAATATCTTCTAGTCGTGTGTGCCAATTTCGCGCTTTCCTTTTCTTCTTTCGACCTGACGCAATAAGGAAGGCAGGTTTGATATCCTACGGCCGCCGCAAATGCGCGCGCAATGGATTAATCCTTAAAACTTTTCCGCTCGATCGGATTTCTCCAATCGCTTTTTTACTCCTCCCGTTCCACCCTCTGCTCTTCCCTCCGCGCCTCCCTCCTTCGACTCGATCCACTCGATCCACTCGATCCACTCGATCCTCGCATCAGCATCGCCACGATCTTTTCTTCTCTTCTCCCTTGAGTCTCGCTGGTACACAGCAGCACGTTGACTAGGGCCGGTCCACGCAATGCGCCATAACAACGGATGCGATTCGATCTGGACCTAGTCGATTTTCAATGGACACCTCATAGACCAATCAAAAATAATCGATTTACTTCAGACTCTTTCCCCCGAGTCTCATTCGGCGACTATAAACGCAACATCATCCAATTCGAAATCGAGCATAACGAGTAATCCGACCGACCAATCGGGACGCTCCGTCCTCGAATTCCGGGCAGATCGTCTGCCGGCTAGAGACACGCACGCATCTCCAGAGTGAATTCCGGCCAGTTTTAAATATACGAGAATGATCTCGAGCGACGCGTTGCGTCACGATTCGAATGACAGCTGTCAGTAATGACGGCTGGCATCAGTCGCTATGTACCTTCGTATGTTGTACGTACCACGCACTGTAGACGAATGTAGACACGGTAAAGCGGCGCACACTGCTGCTGTGTCGAGGTGCGCGCGTGTTGTCATCGCGTGCCTCAAGTAGCACCGTCCTCTCGTCGACTAATGCGAAATCAATATTTAAACGGGAAACGACGCTCTACTTTTAAGTTCTAGGCGTCGCGACGGACGTATCGATAACGCCAGTAAAATTGGCCTTCCATTTACTAGGACCTGTTACCTCATTGCGGAACATTCCCACCTTTAAGCGAACCGAGATTAGCATTCAAAATGGAGGACGATCGATTCCCAATCGATAGTCAGATATTATATTCAATTAATCGAAATTATTCGCGCATTCAAGATAAAGATCTGCTGCCTCGCCGAGGCTAAAATTTTGCTCGTCCTTTTTACTTTTTTCTTTTCTTTTCTTTTTTCAGAGTATTATTTTCAGGACGAGTCCAATTTTCGAACTCGACGCGAGTCACCTAGGAGGCCACGGGAAGATCTCGGAGTTTCAAGGGATAATTCAGCGGAATTTCATCCATCTTGCCGAAGCATTCGCCTTGATATACGCAGAAAGGTACTTTCTTTTTCCCCCTAGATTATATCTCGTGATTATATCAGTGAGACCAGTTGGCCATTTTCAGAGAGAGAGAGAGAGAGAGAGAGAGAACAGTAAAGCGCGAGTGGCGGATGCCACGCATTAAAAGTGCATTAGGGTCCAAGGGGTCCAAGGGGTCCAAGGGGATTCGAGATCTCGAGAAATTGAAGTTCTGCAAATTCTCACAAGTCGAGCGCATCAAATTCCTTATCACCTGAGACTTATGTCAATTTCCCTTATACGCTCCGATACGAATTGGTCCTCGGTCGCGTCGCCCTATAGTACACGATCCGTATTTCTTGCTATGCCGGGTACGGAGGAACGATACAAATTCCCTAGTGCCTAGGTATACACTCCGGATACATTATTATGTCGTAAAAGGATGGATACCTGAAGATAAGTACATTCACGGGACGGATACTCGATAAATACTTGGAAGGTTTCTCTCGACTCAATAACGTCTTTCTTGGAAGGCAGTCAGTGGTTAAACAAAGCGAGAGGGGGAAGGGGGTTGGATTTAAAAAAATATATAACTACAGTCTGCCACTTTACTGCAGTTAACTTCTCGCTCCTGGCCGTTTCCAAGAGACCATGAGACTTTTACGTAAAGCGC